TGCTTCATTCCACGGGCGAGCGTTTCCATTGATGGGGGATTTGGTTGATCCCGCGAAAACGCATCATTTGCATCTTGTTTTTCTATGTTCTATAGACTTGTATTTAGACGTGAGAGCGAAGATATTTTACATTATGTGACTAATTCCACCAAAAAAATTCCGATTTTCGGCGACAATTGGTACTAACTAGATAAAAGAAAGTGGAAATAAAATTTTTTTTATCAAGTTATAAACACAACTGACTCAGTTCTCCTCTCATTATTTGTATAGACTATACTTTAGATCAATGAACAATTTAGCTACAATGAAAATCTTAATTGGGACTAATAACACAGCAGTAGAAGCTTAGGTCGATGAAGCATTTTAATATTTGCTTGCCACTCAGAATGAATTTCTTTTCTTGCTAAAAACCTGTAGAAAGATTGGAACAAATGAATCTAAAAAGCTATTGAAAATACTAAAAGTATACTTTGTAGAAAATTTAGTCACGTCAACCAGAAAAACCCTAAACCTCTCAAATGTAAATTCAATGGCTTTAACTACCGGTGCATAAGCTGATAGGGAGTTGACAATGTTCTCCCGACGATAGGCCGCAATTGGCAGAAATCAGTTGTTGCCCTAAAGTGATTTGTATGCTTTGCTTGAGAAATTGAACGCGCGAGCTAAATGGAGCGTGGTGTGGATGGTAAAGATAATCTGATTCTCCATATAAATATTTTTCTGAACTATGAAAATGTTGGCGTGTGAAACTACTACATTGATTATACGCGGGGGACTATCAATTTTTCCACGAATGACTCTCTCCTTGCACAATTAATTTGAGAGCGAACTCTGATTTATGGGGTCCTGGGAATCCTTTTCAAAGATGAACTCTGCCATGCAAGCAAAGGATGGAATTAAGAAAGAAGCGAAGACGTAACATAGAAGTAATAGAATGATGTATTGACGCTTGACACACATGGAGATCCTAAAGTTTGGATCGTTTGCTCGCCTCATTCTTAGGCTGCTTAGAAGCGAAGAGAGATCGGGGCAATATGAAAACCGAAGAGAACTAGCCTTGCCTAATCGGTTCCGGACAGCTTTACACAGGTACTAGTAGGTTCTTAAGGAAAAAAGCTTGGGGACCCGGCCTTGACTAGACTGTTGAAGCGACAAATTCCTGGAATTTAAGGAGCGTGAGGGACAAATAAATTGTTGAAGTTATCATTTTTTTAAGGATTAATATCACGAAAAACCCCAAACTGGTATACTTATGATAAATTTACCCCCACACTAATTTTTTGATCACCAAAAACTCCAAACTGGTACCCTTGTGGCAAATTTACCTTTCGTTAAATTAAATTAATACCACGAAAAATCATAAATTGGTAAATTTGTAACAAACAGAAGGGTAAAACCCTAAATTAGTACTGTCGTCAACTGCCACGTGTCATCCAATTTAACAATTTGACTGTAAAATTTAATGGAAATTGACGGAAGGAAAATTTGTCACATGTGTACTAGTTTGGGGTAAATTTATCACATGTGTATTAATTTGGGATTTTTTGTGGTATTAACCCTTTTTTTTTTATCTAGAATTAACCTATTTGATGTTAAAAAAGATCTTTTGCAGGAAGGTTGGCCAAAGATTTCTTATAAAAACACTAGCCCTGCTCAGTCAATAATGAGAACTGATTTTTAGCTTGTATAAAAAGCATAAATATTACGGACATGGATTTTAAACCTAGAAAGGATGTGGTATCCACCAATGTCTTAACATATTACATATTTTTTTTCATAAAATAGTTGTTATATTATTTAAAATTATTTCCGGTTCTCTCGACCTTGAAACCGATTGGTTCAATTCTAAAATAAGGGAATTGATTTGTTTTCCAGTACCAAAAATCAAGAACCTGCTCTAATGAGGTATGTTTCAAGTTCTTGATCTGAAACCTATCTACCTTGAAATTAATCACCTAAAAAAAAAGGGTTAGCTAAATATTGGACTGTTAAAGGCCACCTATCAACTTTTGTGCAAGTGTATTGCCCATATCGTGATAGGTCCTATTTTAATATAGCTAAAGTTTTGTCGGATCTACAGTGGGTCGTTAAATAAGGAACGATAAATGTCAACCTATTAAACTTTTTGGGCAAGTGTGTTTCCTAGTGTTGTAGGTCCGATTTAACAGCTAAAGCTTTGTCAGATAAATAGTTGATATAAGAAAGTTGTATTATGTCTCTGTCTGAGAAAATTATTCAAATCAAACAAGAATTGCTGTTTACTTGACTTTTTTAAATCCATTTTTCTTTTAAAAAAAAAGTAACATTTAGTGATGCAGTGAAAGCTTAAAATGAACTTATTATATGGTTAGTGATTTCTAAATTTTCGCTTTATCCAAAAAAATCTCTAAATTTTCGGTCCTAATTATTATCGCCCATAAAATTGAAATAAACCGTATTTTCATATGGACAAAATAAAAGCTTAATTAACATTAACTATTGCTGTGAAAGCTTAAAATGACGTTGTTTTGGCCCAAATATAATTTTTAATATAAAATTTATCAAAATTCAATTTAAAAGATAACCTAAATTTTAAAAACAGAACAAAAAGAAAGGGCAGGAAACTAGGGGTGTGCAAATGAATTGGAAACTGTCCTGATCACCCGAAACCAGGCCGGACCAGTTTGGAACCGGCGGTTCCCGTGAGGACCGGCCCGGTTCCCGGTTCTAATTTACTAGAATCGGTGTGTACCGGTCTGGTTCCCAATTCTAGGCGTGAAATCGCCTACCCGCCGACCTGGATCGGACCGGCAATATATATACATATATATATAATTTTTTAGAAAATTTTCAAACCAAAAAAAAAAAAGGAAACATTTTTAGAAAAATGAAAACCATAAAATCCCTAATCTAAAGTTTGACTCTTAACTTCTATCAACTCACGGCTGCGCCTTTAGCCATTTATCTCCTCTCTCTCTCACTCTTGATCACCTCCATTTACATGAAACTTGGTGGGACCGGTTCCATGGATCCACCCGAGAATTGGCGGTCCGTTTCCCAGGTGGGTCCATGGAATCAACGGGCAGTTTCCGGTTCTAATTTTTCGGAACCGGTTTTTAGTGGGCGGTTCCCAGTTCAATGTTGAGAATCGCCCGCCCGAACCACGCTCACCCCTATAGGAAACAGGTGGTGAGGACTCAACACTCGCCGCAGCCGCCGCCACCCCACCCTCGCCGAGAAGGATGGTGAGGGTGGGGGATGGCTAGCAGGGATCCTTGGGCCCTAGCCAAGGGCTAATAACCCTCACTGATAGCTCCCTCCCCTTTTTTTAAAATTTAGCTTTATTTTTTAAATTTAATTAAAATAAAATTTATATTAAAACTCAAATCTATGTCAAAACTACGTTGTTTTAGCCTTATATTTCATGATTTAGCCACGTCATCGCCATGTATAAGACTTTTCACAGGCTAATATCTCATCTTTTAATGCTTTCATAAGAAATTGTCTCATAGTAAGCATTTCAAAAATCAGGACCAAAAAAAAAAAAGCATTTCAAAATAAGGATCAACTGAGTTAGCATTTTCTATGCACCAAGTTGGACGGAGTCAAAGGAAGAACTTAATTGCACAAATTTGACAAGTTTTAGGATTTAATTGCAATTTTTGCAAGTTTGAGACTCAATTACACTTTCGCGACAGAGTTTAAGACTTTTTTTTTTGGTAAGGACAAGTTTTAAGACTTCTAGTGCACTTATTCCAAAACTTTTATATATAGTTGATTTGAACTAAGGGTGATCTTCAACCAAAAAAAAAAAAAAAGATAGGAGTGATCGGTTCTCGGTCTGGTCTAGTTTCAAGGTGAAACGGGGAACCGAGGACCGGACCAGTTCGGTCAGGTCCGAGCGATTTTCAATTTGGACAGTCCATTTTGCATACCCATAATTTGAACATCTAGAATTCGATAATCCGCCGAGAAGAAGAGCGCCAACACATGGGAATTGCTCGAGATTGAAGAGATCCTGCACCTGGGCCATCATACAATGTGCAAACAGTTTCCGTAAACTTTTGCCTATAATCCAAGCAACATGACAAGACATTTGTGGCGGTACAAAAAGGGCAATTACAATCGGGAGAGGCGTGTGAGTATGCCTCATTTAGTTGGAAAAGTGTAGTCATGTCCAATTAAATTCTAAATATTATTAATATACTAGCACGTCATATTTCAAAATTTGAGAAAATGATACAAATGGTCCATGAATTTTAGCTCAATATTCACCGCAGTCCATGAATTTTTAATTAATTCAATATAGTCATTGAACTATAATTCAATGTGCAATACGGTTTCTAAACTTTTAATTTGTTCAATATGGTCACTGAACTTTTAGTGCATGTTCAACTTAGACATCGATTACAACATTGAACATTTTCATATAGTTCATGGACTAAATTGAACATGTACAAAAAGTTCAGGGATCACATTGAACAGATTGAAAGTTCAGGGATGATATCATACGTTAAGTTAAGCCAAAGTTCATAGATCGTTAGTGAGATGTATCGTTTAACCTGCTAATTTTTAAAAAAATAAAAAAAAAGAGAGAAAAGAAAAAAAAACCTACGGGGCGGGCCAATCGTGCTCCAACTGGGGAAACCAAAGGGCACCGGAAGGAAACGAAATAGGAGAGGGAGGGGTCCAAAACAGCTGTCCACGGCGGGGTGCTCCCACGACGCACGCAACCGAGCTAAGGAGGCGCCACGTGTGTCCATTACATTGACCCGAAGCAGCTCCAAAAGTCCCAAAAGTCAAAACCCCCCACGTTCCGCGCTCTCCCGTCTCGTGCAGGTGCATCCAGCCAAACCAAATCTTCAAGATTGTTATTATATTCCTACTTTTTCAGTTTTCACGAAGCGTTCCCACTCGTGCGGCGTTCCCCGCCCTCCGTCTCTCCTCCCCCCCTCTCTCTATATAAACCGTTCCCCACTCCCGACTTCCGAACGCCATTCTTACGGCCCCCTCTTCCTCTTCTTTCTCCTCCTCTTCCTCCTCCTCCTCCTCCTCCTTCAAACCCCGGCAATTGAGCTCACGGAATTCACCAGAGAGATCAGCAGAGACGACACCATTCAAGGAGGCCCGCCATGCCGAGGAAGGGAATGAGGAGCATCTGCTTCCAACCCAGGACCCTCTCCTTCGCCTCCCCCGCGCGGGGCTCCCCGGCCCTCCCCGCCCCGCCCGCGCAGGTCCCCGCCGCCGCCGCCGCCGCCGCCGCCGCCGAGGCGGACAAGGTCATCGAGTCCGCGGCCCTCCTCATCATGAAGTGGAACCCCGACACCTCGTCGTACGCCCGCGTGACCTCGCTCTTCTACGAGAGCAAGCGCGAGGCCGCCCAGTTCATCGCATGCGTCAACAACCTCCAGAAGTCAATGCACGCTTGGGCGTCGGCGGCGAACTCCGCCTCCGACGAGAGGCTGGTCCATGCTCAGTTCCTGATGGAGATCGCCATGAAGCGGCTGCAGAAGGAGTTCTACCAGATACTGTCCCTGAACCGGGCACACCTCGACCCCGAGTCGGTCTCGGCCCGGTCGTCCCGCGCCTCCGCGCGGTCGAGCATCTCCGAGTACAGCGACGACGACGCGTGCGGCGCCGCCCGGGACTCCATCGCCGAGGTGGAGGAGGCCTCCACGGCCGCGATGTCGGACCTCCGGTCCATCGCCGAATGCATGATCGCCTCCGGCTACGGAAAGGAGTGCGTCGCCATTTACAACATCATCCGGAAGTCGATCGTGGACGAAGGGATTTACCGGCTCGGCGTGGAGCGACTGAGCGCCTCGCAGGTCGCCAAGATGGACTGGGAGGTGCTCGAGATGAAGGTCAAGAACTGGCTGGAGGCGGTGAAGATTGCGATCCGGAGCCTCTTCACCGGCGAGAGGATCCTCTGCGACCACGTGTTCGCGTCGTCCGACTCCATCCGCGAGTCCTGCTTCGCTGAGATCTCGAGGGACGGGGCGATGCTGCTATTCGGATACCCCGAGCTCATTGCGAGGAGCAAGAGGTCATCGGAGGAGAAGATGTTCCGCCTCCTCGACATGTACTCGACGATCTCCGAGAGCTGGCCGGAGATCGAGTCCATCTTCGCCTTCGAGTCGACTTCCGCCGTCCGGTCGCAGGCGCTCGCCTCGCTGGACCGGCTTGGGGAGTCGGCCCGCGCTTTGCTCTCCAACTTCGAGGCGGCCGTCCAGAAGGACTCCCCCAAGTCGTCGCCGGCGGTCGCCGGCGGCGGAGTCCACGCCCTCACGGTGCGCACGATGAACTACCTCACCCTCCTCGCCGACTACGGGAACATCATCGGCGACGTATTCGCCGACTGGCCGCGGCCGGCGAAGTCGTCGCTGCCGGAGTCGTACTTCGACGAGGCGCTGGAGTCCGACGACGCCCCGGCGATCTCGCGCCGGTTGGCGTGGCTGATCCTCGTCCTCCTCTGCAAGCTGGACGGCAAGGCGAAGCGGTACAAGGACGTGGCGACGCTTTACCTCTTCCTCGCGAACAACCTCCAGCACGTCGTCTCCAAGGTCCGCGCGTCGAATCTGAAGTACCTGCTGGGAGAGGAGTGGGTCGCGAAGCACGAGAGGAAGGTGAGGCAGTTCACCGGGAACTACGAGCGGCTGGCGTGGGGCCAGGTGTTCGCGTCGCTGCCGGAGGGCTCCTCGCCGCCGCCGCCGCCGTCGCCGGCGCAGGCGCAGGAGCGGTTCCGGCGGTTCAACACGAGCTTCGGGCAGGCGTGCCGGAAGCAGAGCGAGAGGGTCGTGCCCGACCCGAAGCTCCGGGAGGAGATCTTGGGTTCCGTCGGAGGGAGGCTGGTGCCGGCGTACCGGGAGTTCTACGACGCGCACAAGGCGGCGATCGGGGAGGAGAGGAACGCGGGGCTTTTTGTCCGATATGCCCCTGAGGATCTGGAAAATTACCTGTCGGAGCTGTTCGGCGGGACCGGCGGCGATCGCGCGGTGAGCACCTCGTCGGCGTCCTCCTCCTCGACGTCGTCGTCGAATCGGCACCCATCGTGGTCTCGTTGAGAAGAGACTTTTTTTTTTACTTTTTCTTTATTTATTTTTCCCCATACTTTTCCTTTTTTTATTTTTAATTTTCCATAGCGAATATTGTGAATAAAATACGTATAGATTAATTACGAGTTTTTCGATTGACAACGATGGTATAACTGCCAACGATCAAGATTCGCAGGTATCTGCGATCCTCCCTGCCTTCTGTTTACCCCCATCCTCGTCCAACGGCTCTTATATATTTTTAGGATTAATACCACGAAAAATTCAAAATTATTACATTTTTGATAAATTTACCTTAAATTAATTTTCTGATCACAAAAAAACCCCACACTGGTACATTTGTGACAAATTTATCCTCCGTTAGTTTTCATTAAATTGGATTAATACCAAGAAAGATCACAAACCAGTACACTTGTGACGAAAGGAAGGTAAAACCCCAGACTGGTACACCCATCAACTATCACGTGTCATCCGACTTAACAATTTGACGGTAAAATTTAACTAAACTAAGAGAGAGTAAATTCGTCGCATTTGTATCGATTTAGAGTTTTTGATGGTATTAATCCTAAAAATTAAAATGAAAAAATCATTGGATTTGTCATGTTATTTTTAATATGTAAAGTTAATAAAAAAAAAAACGTTCATGGAAGTTTCTTATTACTCAAAATTTATATTTCATCAACCGCAAGTAAACTGTTAACGGGTTTCGCGAGATGTTCCATCAATCTTTAGGCAAGCGGGTCTTTATGCAGACGTGCATGAAAAAAACAATGAAATTGAAAATGTGGAGGAGTCGGTAAACGGTGCTTGTACTAGCGTACGATAGCCCATAACTATCATTGACAAAGATGCAATTGATGGGGATCAATTCCGTGGCTAGTAATCTTCCCTTCTTTCGCTACATCGGTCCATAGGACCGGCCATTACACGAGCCCCACGACATTGAGTTCGTGTGAGACCCACGAAATGAACGGTTAGGATGCACTCGATCCAATGGATCCGAATCCATACAAGAAATTTTTTCTCGACGCGAAGTGGCCCGGTCCCCCCCCCCCCCCCTGGGGACCCACAACTTGCCGACTACGTGAAAAGGCCACCGTGATCGCAGCAGCATTCCTTTGACGTTGCCAAAAGTTCCACTTGGCCTGCTAATCTTTTCCTTTCGCTCTTCCCAGTTCAGAAGCAGAAGAGAAAAAAAAAAAAAAAAAAGGCAAAGCACAACCATCACTAGACTTTTACAAGGTGCTTGTTTTGCCTCCAGTTGTTCGGGATGTTTACGGTCCTAGAAATATTAAATACGGCGATTGTATGACGACTATGGATTTATATATTGCCAAACAAGGACTAAAACGCTCCGAATGATTCGGGATCGTGCGACGAAACCTAACCCAAGAAGATGATACGTCATGTCTGTGCCCGCACCAGCACGCTCATCCAGGGAAAACTTGTCTGGCTCAAAGCCCACAGGGGCCGGATTAATCACTACCGTTGATCATGTGAGTCTTATATGGATCTCGCAAAACTCAATCAGTGTGACCGCATCCGGTCCAGAGACCACGGTTCTAAGCAGTAACATTCCAAGTCATTCGTGTTCGATTAGTCATACACGAGATTCTTCTCGATTTAGATGATCCTACAATGAAAGCAACATTACGTTGATGTTTAATTCGTTATTATGCAGCATTGAAAAGCCAGTTGGACAAGAACAGCAAGACTTCCTGCAAGCCGTAGGTTAGAGGCAATTGATGTGGACATGGGATCTTGTATGTTTTTGTCATCAAACCCCCGGTCAGTGTTTGAAAAATTGGACATCGACATTTGAAATCCAGCTCCACATCAAAACGATCACATGAAAGTTTCCCCTTTTCAAGTTTTCATAAATCAGCAAGTCAAATAACACCAGCTTCTAGTTAAAATGGTGGGAGAAAATACAAGATTGCAATCACTTGCAGGAAGGAAAAGAGTTCGGGGATTTGATTAAACTAGCCGATACATGCATATTTTGAAGTCCGCCGTGTTTGCAACTTGAATAACGAATATTAAATCAAGTCACGAGCAAGTATGTAGCCACTCAAACAAATTTTCTAAACATAAATGACCTAACTTTAGAAGACTTGACTTGTGCCCCTTCTAGATGCCTTGGGTCAAGAACACCACTCATGGCATGTGGACATTTGAGGCATGGGTATCTCAGCAATTGCCATTGCACCAAAGCAAGTGATGTTCAATACTTTCCAATGCCGGTCAATAGATGCTTTCATTGCTCTTGTATTCTGTTCAAAAAGAAGAGAGAAGAAAGAAAGAAAAAAGGAAGGAAGAAAACAAACACACGTGAAGATTTATTGCATGCACGACGACGATGGCGCTTCGTTTGGTCCGCGACGCTGATGTTACTTGCATGAAACCCTTCATTTTACTCTGCTAAACCAAAGTAGATTGATTGGTGGATCCGAAATGAAACAGCTTGTATCAAAACTTATCAAGGCCAGCATATACTTTGACACCATACTTTTATTTTGATCCCCAGTCAACAATTACGTCCTTGCTACTAGTATATGCGAGAAGAAAGCTCTGTCTGCAATTTAGACCTGAAATACAAGGGTGTGAAAAAAGGACCATAGATATTTATAAGACAAGAAACACGGTGAGGTACGCGCTATGCAGCGACTCCGTGATCAACGGGCAGAGGCACACTCTGCCATCCTGTGCAATGTTGTAGAACCTGCTTGAGTGAATCTGTGGGAGGTTCCACCGTCCACGTGGGATAGTATTCGCTAGGATGAAACACGCAGTGTTTGGCTTTATCAGTCATTAGACCTGATTGAGTTCCCGCCATGAACAAGTCCCCTTCAGATCTTATGTGACCAGTGCCTGCGACTTCCTTGTCAGCAGCCTATAGAAAAGTGAGATCACAAGTCTCAGACACATAGCTAGTCACAGGAATACCATATGATCTCGTATCAGTAGCCAAAATAAGTAGGATAATCCAGTAATGATGTCAAGTCCTAAATTAGTAACAGATGAAAGATATAGCCCGCCGCTTGGTCCATTATGCTACTAAGACATGGAATGCTAATTGCAAGCGATGCACAAGTGACGTATTTTTCGTGAGGCAATAGGAAGACTCCTTAAAAACCACAAAATGTCATCAATTTTTCTGCAAATTGTAAATATGATAGAATTATCTGAGAAATATATTCTTTCAAAGCCATTTAAGGAAGCCATGAGTTTAATCTTTTTTTTTCGTGCAAGGAATTATAGTCTTTTAACTCGAAGATGTAGTGAAAAGACCTAAGCCATATGTGATGCCAAGTCTACCGGCATATCTTTTTACATGTACTCATCCTGATTTCTATATGGATGTTCCAAAGATGTTCTTTATCTTCTTTTTTTTTTTTTGATATTTTGAATAGGTTTATAGAGAATTTATCTGTCCATGAGATCCATTCTCCAGAATCTGATACGTGCATCGATTGGTTGCCAAAGTGGCAATCGTACACGGTCAGGACTTTCAAATTTTGGAGATCCTTGAAAGTCAGGACAAACATTCCAGGCATGCTTCAAAGATGCAGCATTGTCCCTATCAATCACGATGAATTCGATACTCATATGTAATCTTGACGACCCTCCAATACAATTCTTACAGCACTAGCCACTAAGATGGTGATTCGACAAGCTGCAAAGGACATTTAGAAGTCTTCTTCGAGTACTTACTTTGTATAGGGAAAACAGAAAAACTACTCATTTTTCATCTTAGAAACAATTTACATCCCCTATTTCCATAGCCCCACTTTTCATCAAATCCTAAGTTGTTGTAATGACTAAAATATGCTCTTCAAAACACCCAAAAAACTTTAATTCCAAATCAGTCTCAAGCCCTAACACCCAAATTCTACTGTTCACCAGCATTGCCCACCATTGCCAGCCACCACCCGGCTCGCTCCGGCACCAGTGACATCACCCACGTGGCCGGCCTCTCTCTCTCTCTCTCTCTCTCCCCGGTGGCAATGAGTAGCTCAGATACTGTGACAGCAACGGTGGCAAGATGATGGGGTGGGGCAGTGATGGCTGCGCTAGATCTAAAGTAAGCTTGTGAATACAATTCTCTAGTAGGTGAAGATGAGAAAAGTGGTAGAGGTACTTCCGGAAAAGAAATTGCAATTAATATAAAACAAAATGCTTGGTGCAAAGTGGTAGTTTTAGAAATTTTTGAGTAACATAGTGTTGGGAGTGTTTTTGGTACTTTCCCTTCTACCAAGATAAAACTACTTGTAATGCAATCTGTTTTACTTTTGCTTTGAATAATTGACTAGTCTACGCATTGAGTGCATAAAATCAAGAGGAATGAGTGCCATATCTAAAGAAAAATACCCATAAATTTGAAGCCAACATGGTAAGAGGTGGCAGAGAACCCTTAAATGGACTCTTTGCAACGTAGCTTTACCATAGCTAAACAATGCATTGAGATAGCTAACAACCATGTTAAATCAAGTGTTAGAACCTTGTCCTAATTCAATGTATTGAAGCTCAGTAAGCTCAAGATTGGCATTGTACTAGACTACCTTTCCTTCCTGCTTCTTCCTCTTTAATTATACTATACACAAGCAAGGCACCTGAAATGTGGAGGTACTCCTACTATAATGAATCTTCAGTCTTTGACTGAAAGAAAAAATGAATCTTCAGTTCAATACTCAGTCAACTCTCATTTCAATCATCAACCTTTGTCTCTTTTGCATTTGGGATAAACTGTTGGCTTAGTTATGTTGGCTATGCTTAAACTAACGACTTTTTCCAACTCAAAAAACATCAGAGATGAATAGATATTTTTGAGCTAAAAAAAAACTAATTCTCGTCAACATAATTGTACTTTATCTGATTGCCTAACTGCTTCAACATTTTCCCCTCCACATATAACTAGCCGCAATGCTTAACGAGGCCAAGGTCATGTAACAGGCTAATGAGTTCCAGAAACTTATGGATTACCTAGCACAAAGTAAAACAAGGTTTACTCTTACAACTGCCAACTCTGTACAACAAATAGCCATTTTGCTCCTGCTCTGGAATGATGCCCAGGATGGGAGCAACTATTCGCAAACCATTCATACTGACGTATCACCATTCTCCAGTATTCCCAAGAGAAGAATCATGAGTATTCACAAACAAGAAATTTCTAACACTTACTGTACAAGCACTCTGACAATTGACTACTAGTTGCACTTCAGTTTACAGTGAAAAAGAAAGTATAAGCACTTGCCTTTTCCGTGAGATATTTGAATGCCAGCTTTTTCTGACCAGCTTCATAGATATTGCAGTGGGAGAATATCTGGTTGCAAAATGAAGAGAAATCATGAACATTGTTACTTAATGAAATAAACCATGCTACCAATATCACAAAGACAAGGAAAATGTCTAAATTAGCATGAAATAGAGATTCCACAGGCTAGTATTATCACCTGTGATTCTACACTAGCACAAACAGCATATATGCCCCAATTTCTGGTGTAATTGTTGTACAGATGTACTTTCGCAAACCTCACTCGGGGATGTCGTTGTCGAGTTCCATCGAAAAAACAATGGTGAATGGTCACCCTTATACATCGGTCCTCAATGTGGGAGGGATCTGCTCCAATGAGTATTGTCTTGTCATGAGCTGAAAAGTGACACCTGAATAAAAATAATCAATTACATTGAGATCAGATTAATTATAACAGAAACCATTTATCGAAGATGGAGAAAGTTACTCACCTAGAAATGGTGATATCTGTACTCTGCCTTGTGATATCAATAAGGCCATCCTCATAATCACGGAGGCTGCAACGGTCGATCCATATGTGCTTTGAATTGGGCTTTATTTGAATGCCGTCGACATCCGGTCCCCTACCGCCTTCAAATTCTAGATTGCAAATGATGACATGTTCAGATTCCTTCAACCTCAAACCTTTCCCAGTGATTTTTATTCTTTGGCCACGGCCATCAATAGTCTTATAGGAAGACACATTTAAGTAAGACGAGAGATGAATGGTGCCCGGGACTTCAAAAACTATCCAGAGGGGTTCTTTTCTGCGGCACCCATCACGAAGCGATCCTGGCCCATCATCTGCAACAACCAAAGCGAAATATAACCTCTCTCTTGCAGACAAACAGGCATGCATCAAAGGGAATTACGGACATAATGCGACATAATAGTTCCTAAAATGCATTTTCCCATGGCTAAACTCAAACTTAGGCATTACAGGACCTTAACACCTGGTGTATAAGCCAAAATCGTCTACATTGGGACATGTAAAGAGACCAAACTTTCAAGCATTTTATCACATTCACCAGAGGTACATGCATGCATCAGCCATAGAATTGATCAACTCACAAAGTGCTAGTCGACAATGAGCATGTTACCACACAGAACATATTCACACAATGAGAACAAGGCCTTTTCTAATCCTAGCAAAAAATTCCCAAGTCTTCTTCAATACCATCTTCTTCTTGTCACGCCAAGAAACCCCTTTCAGTAGAAAATACCAATAACCGGACAAAAACCATGATAATCATTTGAAAGCAACACAAAAAGAAAAAAGAAAAGAAAAGGAAAAGAAAAACAAGCCATATTCGATTCAGCTCGAGCACCGAAGTTTGAGACTGACCGGCCAGAGTGGTGACGCGGTAGAGAGGGCCGCGGAGGCCGCCGACGGCGGAGCGGCCGAACCCCTCCGCTTGGCCGGCGAGGCTCCGGAGGGCGGAGTCGACGTGGGCGTACGGCAAAGACCCCATTGCGCGGCCGTCTCGGGTCGAGGACGCTGGATCTGGAGGAGCGTGGCTATGATGATCATGGGGGATGTGGGCTTGTTGGGGGACGAATTTATTGGGGAAAGCGACGTTTGGTGGACGTGGGTCGTGGCGGTGCTTGTTGCGGTGGCCATGGGCGTTGCCCATCCTGTTGGGTGGCGCGTTATTGGACGGGAATTGATTGCTCTGTCGAAACTGAAGACTTTGGAGATTTTGGCGTTTTGTTTGTTGCTTTTTGTTGTCCCTGTAATGAGGAAAGACAAACTGTTGCTGCTGAAGTTTTGTCGGTGACCAAAAAAAAAAAAAAGTTTTGTCGGTGGTTGTCGTGGACCGTGCCTCGCCTTTTGTTCTCTGAATTGACGAAGAAGACGAAGAAGAGAATAGGGAGGATCGGGTGATCTGGCTGCAACCGAACGGGGAAAGGAATTTTTTCAGTTAACCTGCTGCACAGTGCATTAGTAGTGCTCTTGCTAGAAAATGGAAAATTTCAATGAAAAGCCTGAAGTGCCCTTATTTTCTCGAATAAGTACCTGGAGCGAACATTGTTTCAAACGAAGATTTGAAATGATCAAATTTTCTCGAATAAGAGACTGAAGTGGCCAAATCGTCTCAAATAAAGACTTTTGGTCGACTGACTAATATTTGACTATTCCAATCGTCGAAGAAAGGTTATGGGGCTAATTGGCTCCTGGTCCGGTCCGATTATCGGGTAGTCCAATCGAATAAGTGGAATTCCTGTTCTCTCTCGCTATTGTATGCAAATTTCATTTTACAATAATACGCTCCTACTATATTCAAAGTAATCCAGAATCATAACAAAATATGTGTCGATTTGGGTCAAGCATTGTATTGAACACACGGTGGTCAGTTATACCGGAAAGGCATAAATTAAGTATCCATGTACCGGTCTAATTCCAAATTATCATAACAACGTCAAGGTGTAAGCAAATCTAGAACCGGAGACAATTTTCTTGCAAAACCTCAACCTCAGTTCTCGACCTCGAGAGAAAATAAACCGGCAAGCATCTCAAACGATCAATGCAGATGCAGTCATCTAAATCGTGCAAGAGTATCACCAAATTGATCAATAATGGAAAACGGACACTCCTTTGACCTATGCGCATTTAATCAGAGGATCCGCAGGGTGAGGGGAGTCGAAGCGAGAGAGAACTCTTTGGCCGGGAAATGGGAGCCACGGGCGCCGACCGGGGACGTCGAAAGGTCTTGATGGAGGTAATGCAAGACCAGATGGAGCTGGGAGCCAATCCCCTTTTTGCTCTCGCTTTTCTTGCTCTCTCCAATCTTCCCCCCAATACCACGCTTGAGTCATGATGTGCAGCTTCGGAGATTGAAGCTTGAGAGGTAAGAGGGAAAGAGCGAGACTGAAGAGCGAGGTGCGAGGCTTGAGTCACGTGAGGGATATTATGATTTTTAGGTTAAAAGGGTTGTTCTTTAAGAAATTAAAAAAATTAAAATATATATATAGAGAATCGTTCCAATCGGGTTCATACCCTGGAATGGGAACCTGACCAAAAATCACCGGTTCTAATTTTATGTAACCGATAATTGAACCGTCGACTCCCAGAATCGCCTAGAACCGACTGGTCCGGGCAGTCCTTTATGCTCACCCCTAGTATTTTAGTAATTTTTTTTAAGTATATATATTTTTTACTTTACTTTCCTTTTCTTTTTTTCTTTTACCTCTTCCCTTCCACGGCCATCGCCGCACCTTGTCGATGGTCAGCAACCTCTGCTCACCTCAGGCCCGGCGCCGGGTGTGGGTGTTCCTCACCATATCCGGCAAGGGCCACCCTGGGCTAGGTCGGCAAAGGCGACCCTCACCAGCCTAGCCTAAGGCAACCCTCGCCTAACGCCGGCGAGGGCAGCCCTTGCTTGAGTCCGGCGACCTCTACCAGCCATCGACGAGGCCCGGCAATGGCCGGTGAAGGGATGAGGGAAAAAGGAAAAAAGAAAAGAAAAAAAATAGAAAACAAGGAAAAAAAATTCAAAAAAATAAAGGACAAAAATGCCCTTCAGCCGGTGAGGTTAGGCCCTTCTTTAAGACTAATATAGCCACTTCGGGCTCTTATTTGAAATAAGGTCCATTTTAGGCCATTATTTGAGAAAACGATGGCATTTCAAACTCTTATTTGGAATTTTCCCTGACAGAAAATTAGGAATGGGCTCGGGTGTTACAAAATCTCACGAAGTGCCTTGATCTAGCTTGTCTAGGAGGATTAGGACCCATTTATCCATGATCATATTACAGGTACACGTAAACATAGTCTTGCTGTATTTTAGACTTTTTTTTTTGTTTCTCATAATTTCTAGATGATGCCATATCAAGCACATGTAATATTTACTCGTGCTGTAATAGATTATATCTGTAAAAGCTCTTTGGAAAGTTCAACTACTCAAACTCTCCAATTACGACACCCTTGATGTACATCACTTATTCCATTGGTTGATATAACTTAGTAGAACATCTTCTCTTGATTCGTTTTCGTTCATTCTTTCGTACAAATATTCTTGCAAATTGTGCATGGGCTTTACCATTAAGGTATAGCGTACTTGAATCAGCTTGTGTACAGCTTGTGACCGAGGATAATACAGCCACGCGGTCCTTTGAACTGGGCAACGGCTCTGACAGTGAGATTTGTTATCAAAGCCTAAGTTATGAGGAAAGACTTCAAAACCGTGGTCGACACTACTGCCGAAGACCAAAAGAGGATTTGAGGATTTGGAAGGTTAAGTTAAAGCCCAACACGGTCTAGGGACATCATTCACAAAACTCGACGAACGAACCGGGTTCATTGAGGGGTCACATCATGCTGTGTGCAATCAAATGGGTGTTGTGGAGGACGATGTCCATGAGATCAAAGACCTTGGTGAAGCCTCTTATGTAATGGGCATTGAGATTCATAAAGATATATCTTGAAGGATTTTAGGATTATCATAGAGAGCCTATATTGAAAAGATTCTCAAGAGATTCAATATGCATAATTGCACTCTTAGTATTGCCCCTATTGTTAAGGGTGACAAGTTTAGCTTGCTACAATGCCTTAGAAATCAACTGGGGCTTGGAAAAAAGGAGCATGTTCCCTATGCATCTGCTGTAGGGAGTCTTATGTATGTACTCACACAAACATAGCGTGTGTTGTTCGAATAATTGGCCATTACCAAATAAACACAGGAATGGGTCATTGGAAAATAGCTAAGAAAGTGATGCATTACTTATAGGGTACAAAAGATTTTATGCTTACCCACAAGAAAACAGATAGCTTTGAGGTTATTGGTTATTTTGATTCTAATTATGTTGGGTGCATCGACACCAAAAAATCCACATCAGGTTACATTTTTATGCTTGCTGAAGGACCTATCTCAAGGAAGACTGCAAAGTAGTCCTTAACTGCATCTAGCATGTTATGAGGCAAGTTCTCATGGTTTATGGTTGAGGAACTTCATTATGGGGCTTTAGGTAGTTGATACTATTTCGAGACCATTGAAGATTCACAATGACAATCAGGTTGCTGTTTTCTTCTCAAAGAACAACAAGTCAAGTGGTGCATCCAAACACATCGACATTAAGTACCTAGTTGTGAGAGAAAGAGTCCAAAATCAAATTATGTCCATCCAGCATATTAGTACGAAAGTCATGGTAGCAGATCCCATGACAAAAGGCTTACCACTCTTTCGAGAACATGTTGCTATTGATAGCCTTTAGTTTAGGCCATGATTTTGGACACATGACGTATTTTTATTTATTTTGTGATCACCTCATGTAATGGATTTGGATTTATCGTTTGTTGGTTCTTATTATATGTGCACCTTTGATGCTTTTTGAAACAAATAATTATGTGTGGACCCCATGAACATGTTTATATTATGAAACATTATTGTTTGTGACTATTAAGCCATTAAATGTTGTGTTTAATGTTTGTGTTGGGATAGTAACTCGAAAACGGTACTGTGGCATTGGAACATGGATACTGGCTTCAATTATTTTCTTTATAAATGTCAGACATGACTTTACTTAAGGGATGTTGTATATGCTTGATTATTTTGTGCTAAGCCTCGTGAATTAGATCAACAATTGAACCTTTGGCCAAGTGGGAGAATGTTGGACTTGACAAGGTCCAACCCAATTTAATTAGCCTATCAAGTTTATTATTTAACATTTGACATAGGCCAAATTTAATTAAATATATTATGGGTCATATATTTGTGATATCCAATTAGGCATGTAGAACCCATATATTAAACCTTGATGGACAGTTGAGATTTGGTAGCTCTAGGATTGGTCCCATCACTCTCTCTATATAAAGTCTCTCTTTGGTGGAGAATGTTAGCATCCAATTATCACGCTTCCCCTATTTTCACAAAATTGTTGAGAGAAAAATACACACCCATCACAACCATTATAGAAGAGAGTGGTGAAGATTCATATCCACAGGAAGACATCTCTCTCATTAGATCAAATATGTTATATTTATCAATTTGATCTCATGTTTATGTGATTGAAAGATCCTATTATTCTAATAGCTTCAACATTCAACGGTTCCACTCCTCCTCTAACTGGAGCACATTTGAGGTGGTAACAGTTCAGCAGCCATTGCTTCCTCAATAGTGGCAGTGCCAGATTTGGGGAGATACCCGCGAGCCTAGAACTTCAACCAAGATGAGGCAGAACACCGATATTGCTCGAGCTTATTCGAAAAGGCCACCAAGTGGATGAAGTAGGCGGCTCCAAAGAGAAACCTGTCGATTACTAGGTAGGTGACTTGGTCACGACACATGAAAAAAGAATCTTTTTTTTTAGTACGTAATATGATTTTCATGTATAGGAAGATATTGTAAATTGTTGTTTTCATTTACAAAAGAATCACCTTCTAAATATAATGAGAAATCCTTATATATCATTTTATACATAATTGGATCGTAAAGGGTTGTTTTGTATTATTTTGTCATAAAAAAGGATAGACATCATAAATATGACAAAATTACATCATTTGATAGGTAAAGATCAATATGATAAGTTATGAATCTGATTAAATGGTAGATATGCATCGAATTATGATTTCATTAGCGAATTGATTAGTGTGCTTGCAACTTAGTAAAATATAAGTTCAAATAATGTATTCATTTCAATTAGATCTCGAGAACAAATGACATCAAATCTAATCTTAACTTCAAATACGAATTGAGAATCAATCGATTTTGAATTTGTGGAGATTGGAGACAACGATAATGTGGTGGA